CGTTTTGGTCACAACTAATGGCAAAGCGTGGTCTGCTTACTCCTCCTAGGCACCTGATCACACCTCTGGAATTACCAGGAGTTCGCGTTTTATGCACTCTTCACATATTTGTATTGTATGTGGATTTTTGAGGTCGATCACTGTTCGTTATCTTTACCTTCTACATCTCAGGATCACTTTGAAATTCACTTAAGTTTCATTTTATTCAAACTTTTATATTTTGCCACGGTGAAAACTAGGATCATCAAATCTTGTCAGTTAATCGATCTTAAGTATCTGAACTCAGGGTGTATATTAGTAACCTACTTTCAGAATTTTCATGGCTATTTATTTTCATACCCTTTTAAAATAACTATCTAAGTCCATGGGCCATCAGATCTTTTTGATTTGTGCCTTTTGGGACCTTCTAAGATCCTACACATTTTGAATAATATAACCTTTGTATGGTCTACAAACCTACTATTATCCCCTCGCGCAAGTAGTTGCGGAGGGGATATAGCATCGCTACTGTGCGTATGTGTGTGTGTTAGTGCGTCCGTTACAGCTTGTGGGCAAGATTTAAAGAGAACCTTTAGACTATCAATTCTCAGCTTCCACATACTTATGTAGCATCGTAAAAGGACGAACCCTATTCATTTTCAAATTAATCGGTGAAATATTTCTCAAAATATTGCGTTTTTACTACCTTCAAACCCTGAAATTTTATGTACAACTTGACAATACTCGCTTCCGCTTAATCAACCTTGGAAAATTCGGGTCGCTTCGATAGACTCGCTTCAGTAAGTTCACCCAACTGTATTAAATTTTTGCGTATTGTCATCTTGAGACAGTCTGTATGAATTAAGTTTCATCTCGGATGCTGAGTAATTGAAATAATTTGATGAACGTCGCGGTTTCATTATACCAAATTTCCACAGGTGTCTGTTTACAACATGGAATTTATTCGTGAGGCACACGTAATTCCTGAAAGCTATAAAGACATATTGCAAGTTTAGGTCTATGGTTTGGTTTCAGTGACCTCTCAACAGCGGTATATTGTCATTTTTATTACGAAAAAATATTGTCTCCGTGGGTATTCTCAGATTTTATGCATATAGCATGCAACTTTGAGATATACCTAGGAAGGTAAATTACTGAAACTTAGAGCATACGTGATATGTTTCTGCTAGGAATAAGGGAAACTGACCAGTTACGTATGCATACCCCCCCCCCCCCCCCCGATGCTATGCACTTTGGTTTAAAAATGACCCCCCCCCCCCATGATTTTGTTAAAAAAATAATTAGTGCTGCAACATTTTTTATTTTCTTTACCTTATTTTAAACCTAACTAGATGATTGTATCTTCATTAACGTCCCTCTTGAGAATTTTTCTCTCGTATGGAGACATTGCCATTACCGGTGAAGTTCCTGCCGCGAGGGGATGCTCCGCTTAGCGGTGCTCTTGTTTATATACATGTTATTCATGCATCTGTCATTCTTGGGGCTTTGGGTTGTTCTAATTTTCAAGTATTTTTGATAGATATCTTTGATACTATGAGTCACACTTCATCAAACTTTGTTGATTGTGATACCTTAGGGTTTGCTTGTGACAGTTCGGAATTATAGTTATACACTTAGTGAGGTTTGTGCAAACCAAAAATATGTCAAAATTTCTTCATTTTAAATTTTCCAAATATCATACAGTGTTTGATACTCATCAAGTGTTGATAAGGATCACTAGTCTTTGTCAGTTGATGCACCTACATCGTAGGAGTCTATGCATACACGAAGTTAATTTTTAACCCATATTGAAAATAGGTGAAACTTAGGGTGGAATTTAGTAAAAACCTACCAATGGCCAAAAAAGACACTTCAGCGATAATGAAACTAAATTCCAACAAATTCTTTGAGAACTTGTTTTATAGAAAAACTAATGACATTAAAGTTATTATTCGTGCAAATGAGGGAGCAGCTCAATTAATACAATAAACGAGATTATCAAATGAAGAATTTGAAAAATATAATGAAATTGCAAAAATTCATCATATTTTTTGTTTACATCAGTTTTAGTACTAATGCATTTGTTAAAAATGTGCATTTAATTACTTCACGAACAGTTTTATAGCCATTCCTCTCTTTACATATTTTTGTACGCTATTTCAGGCAAAAACAAGATGTGTTAATTTAGTTTAACTCCCCCCCCCCCCCCCCCCGAAAAATATGGGAGTGATCAACATAATTTTCAGCTTGATTTTGCAGCTTAATTTTAAGTGATAGTTTGAAGCTAACTTAATATGTAGAGCAGGGAGGAATGCATTCCTCTACAAGAGAATTTTTAATCGATTGCCGAATGATTATTTCCGGGACTTTATGGGGTTCTGCAAAGTCGATGTCACCGTCAATATTCTGTGCTCACATATTCATTGCTCAAGTCAATTTCAGGTTACCCCTTTTCATTTTCGATAATATAAGAGATGGAAAGAGACAAAATTCCATTAATAAATCCAATAAATGACTTCGGTCCAAGTTGGGGAGATTAGCAATTATATGAATCGATGCCTAGCCATATTATGACCGGGTCATTGAATTCTAATAATATATTAAGTACATCTGTTTCAATGGGACGTTTAATACACAGGATCAACAAGCTGGAGATTGCGATCTGCATCAGAAATATAGTTAGTGATTAATATTTTGTACTAATTTTGAGCGGGATCTCTTTTATTGACTCAGGGTTGAAGAAAAATTACTGAATATTTGCAATTTTGCACGTTTATTCCAATTTCTTTTAAAAATTATATAATTGTCAAATATTTCTCTTATATTACTTACATTCATGTTTCTTGTTTATTTTGTCATTGATTTTAAAGTATGAACGAGTACTATAATATGTGATGTTTTCTCAAATTCATATACACACATGTATATATCCTTTTTTTTGGTATGAGATTTAAAGAAAAATTCTTCCTGGCTCTTTTTTAGGGGGGTATCTATATTATACATCAATTACCAGTCAATTATAAATAATCTTATAAATAATAATAATAAAAATATCTTATATTTACATCCACTAAATATTATCTCCTCTATTAAGAAAACCATAGTCGTTCATCGATCACTGAACTCCGCTAAGCATACCACCTACGTAGTTTCTCGAGCAATGGCTCTTCCATCTTAGAAACGTACAATGATGTACATATCGATAATATAATATTTAACATAGTTCATCCAACTTATGATGATTATTTATACAGACATAAATAATGATTGATTGTATATTGTTTTGTTTATCGTCCCATTCAAGAATTTTTCACTCGTATAAAGACGTCACCATATGCTGGTGAAGAACTTCAAATTTAGATCTGTACTCGGCCATTGAGCAGTGAAGGGTTTTTTTTATCTTTCTCGTACCAACGCCTACCGTGACACGGGACCTCGATTTTTAAGGACCCATGACTTTCATTTCTGGCGAAGGAACAGTACATGCATAAATACAAGCAATAAAATATCTTTTTTCTTTGTTAGTATGGGAATTAAAGTTCAGCTATTGCAGAAAAAAAAATCCTAACCGCGAAAGCGGATTGTGTGTTTTTTTCTGCAACAGCTGCAGCATTAATTCCCATACTAGGAACCGAAAAGTCATTTTTGTTAAAATTTAATACCAGGAACCTTTCCAACCTGTATGATAAAATTTAAATTTTAAAACATCAAAGATGAAATCGTATAGCTGTAGCATCAGTATAGTTAAATTTTAATGAGTTGAACCTCCATTTGTTTGCTTGGGAATCATGGTGACATTTCATCAATACTAAGTAGAAAATTGTATATGTTCGTTAATACGATTTCCTCAATGCTTAGTAGAAAATTGATGCACAGAATATATTGATTTGTAATCTATATGTATCACGTTTTCTGAGACTTAAACAGTATATACGAGAAATTTGCAAGTAAGTTGTTGTTGTTGAAAACCGTATCAACAAACATATTCTACATACTCGATTAGAAAATAATTTCGTTTGGTCTTCACTTATATAAAATAAGATACGCCCAGTGCTGGTTACAATTTGTAACAAGAGAACGGTCAAGTGGAGAATCCCCTCGGAACAGTAAATATTTTTTTCCTGCATAGTCCTAGAGTACAGTTACGCGTGTAGAAGAAAGTCAAAGCAATATTATGTTCTGGGTGATGACTGGTCACTGACCATGTCTTTCACATATTATGTTTACTAGCAAATCAAATTCGAGTTGTACTGAAACCCGGGAGTTGTGAAAAATGTTATCAAATTATATTTATAACTCGGAGCTCTCTATAGTTTTAACACTTTTAATTCCAATTATTACATATTAATGCCTCAGATTTAAATGTACGCATTATATGTAAAATAATGTGGCAATGTACCTGCAGAACTTGCATCACTTGTGAACAGTGCCGATACAGATAAAGTCATACTAGGTGACTTGGTCGTTTATTATTAATTTTGTATTGTTAATCTGCACATACAACTTGATACGCAACATCCTGAGAAATAATTCACCAATAACCCTGAATAATAATGGGGTTTTACTTATGACAGTGCTAAATAATTAATTATGCAAAGTTTAGTTATGTTAAGTAGTAGGGTTCTTTTTCAATCTTACCCATGCATAAGCTTGTACAAGGGCAATCTTTATACATGTGTTACATTAAAAGTTTAAATCTAAAGTTTAAACTGATAGTTATAGATAAGTTTAAACTTTAGATTTAAACTTTTAATGCAACACATGCACATTACGGATGCCATATTCCCTCCCAATTTGTTGTGCGAGGGGATTATTATCACTGTCCTTAATAATAAAAACCTAATTTAACTCTTGATAGATAAAAAGAAATGCAGTGTCTATATATTGAATTAACACTTTATTATATATGATAACTTAGGGAATGGTTCTAAGTACTCAATTTTCTCTACATTACAAAGGTGTTCTTTAATAAGGTAATGAATGCGTGACTCCTCCAATTATCTAAATTATTTTCTTTTCAGAAAATCAAAGAACCGTTTCTGGAGGCTGTGAAAATAACGTTGGGAGATCGGTATACCGATTATATGGCAAATGTCTACACTAAAACAATCGACTTCATTCTTTCTACACTACGCAGTGGATATCTCGACAAAAATCAGTGTTACGAACTACAATCATCAAAATCACCAATGAAAGGCGAAACAGATCAAGCTAATGGTGTTTCATCTGACCAAAGAGTACCGAAAATCGAAATAACCACAAAACCCGACGAAAAATGACAAAATGACAACTGACCCGCAGTACTTACATTATTAACGATTTTTTTTTTAATTAAGGAGGTTTTCTACTCTTCCACTAAGCAACTGACTATTTTTTCCAAAATAACTGCAATGCAAATAAATGCTCTACATGTATTTCAGATACTGGGAATGGATTGTTTTTTAATCAATAATTCCCAGGATTCCAGGTAAGCAATAAGTTGTTATAATTGTAAATATCGAATAAAATGAATCTTGTGCTAAGACAAACATTTTTTCGCAATATTTACAAAATCACATTCATCAAACCCCTAATTACAAGACGTCAAAACAAATGCTGTAGCAAATGGAGTTTCTCACATCGTTTACTTTACTAGTGCCAAACAATTTGTTCTTTACCATTCTTTACTTTCTTTTTCAGAATGAATACTGTAAACGTGGTTATTTTGACGAGTTGAAAAATTGACGATTTTTTGTTTACGAAAATTGACGAGTGTTAATTTTGACGAAATATTGAATCAAGAGTTATGTATATCTTTGATTTCACAAGATTAAAACAAAAATGAATACAAAGAACTCCTTAAAAAAACAGTTTCAAAACTAGTACTCAGAGTAAGTTCGCCAGAAGCTAGAGGACCAAACACTTGATGGAAACATTGGCTTAGTTTACTTGAGAACGTCTACGATTAAGCCGTTCTGTGCGAGTTCACGATGTTATAAGCAAGGATCGCGACTTCCTCGGGAACTCATTTACAAGCGTTCTCATCAATAAAATTTAATTTTGCTTGTAAAAACCGTCTACAGTGTATAAGATTTGATTGAATTAATTGCTCTTTTGTACTAGTCTTTGTTTTCATTATACGAGACCGATTGCCTGAGGTAACAAAGTAGGTCAAACACGGCGTGATAATTACTCAAAGTTAGAATGTTGTGACCATGGGTAATAATAGTATATGACATACTCAACGGTTTTTAAAACTGTGATTATATGTTTTCATAACTATTTACAAAAAAATTAAACAGTAACTTTGATCTAGTTTCAATGGGGGAAGCCGAGAAAATTAAGCGATAAAGTTGTACAACGGTCAATATGTCTGGTGTGACGCTATATATATATGATATGAAGTTTGACGAGTGGAAATTTTGACGAGAAAAGAAAAATCGTCAATATAGTCAAAATTAGCACGTCGTCAAAATTTCCACGTTTACAGTATTCGTTTTCACAATAAAAATATATGAATAGAGGGGGCTTTTAGGACATTTATCTGATCCGTCTAATGAATAAATTTCACTAATTGTGCTGTATGAAAGATCTCATTTGAAGCGGGGTGCCTGTTCGTTTACAAAATCTTGTGTCTTACCTTTAGTATTAATATTAAATCTTACATACCGGTAGAATGACAATTTCTAAAACGTATGTATTTATTGATACGTTATCTGTCGGAAACGGGGGGTGGGTGTCAACATCCATATGTCAGGTGCCCGTGATCGTTACGTCATTGTCCCAATTAAACTATTTCCTTTTTTTTTGGTTTACCAAAGACGCCCTACATAACTGGCAGTCGCTAAAATATAGCAACATGTATGATGACTACAATTTCCTGTAAGTCAATCATATTTGATCCCCAAATCTCCAATGAATTCTCTGAAAAAAAAAAAAAAAAAAAAAAAAAAAAAACTAACGAAGGGCAAAGAACAAATTGCTTGCCTCCAATTAAGGAAAAATATGTTATGACCAGTATAACTAGAAGAGGGGTGTAGAACAACATCTACCCAATCTGCTTCGTGTATAATGTTATTATGATAATGCTGTATAAACGTTAAAATCTTCCTTAAGGCGAGGCACTCTGTTTGGTAACAAGATTTTGTTTATATACCGACAGAAGTGCAATCGGTCATATGTACCAAAAATTGAAATTATATCAGCATGTAAGTTTAATACATCATGACATGTATGTTAGGAATTCATGTATTTTTTATTCTGTCTTAGAGAAATTATCAGAAGAGAGAGAGAGGGGGGGGGGGGTAGGTGTCAGGTGTCGAAAGACACACAGTACCTGAAGGAATTTTGGTAGTAAAAGTACGTTAACAACAAAATAAAAAAGAAAAGAAAAAATGAAGGAGCAACGAACACTCTGACAAAACCTGAAGACGAGATGCGAGTGTTAAACATGTTTGAGGTGGATCTCTCGAGATTTGGGCTATATCAAAGATAGCATTCCACTAAAGGAGGATACGCATGACAAACACCACAAAATCTACGGTGGAAAAATGAATTTTCAAAATTTCTGACAACTTCCGATACAAACTGATTTCAAACCAGAAGTCTCTGAGGAAGAGAAAGTAGCAATTAGACTTGAAACTATGCAAACATTCTTGGTTTAGTTTCTGTCTGTGGCAAAATTTATTGCAATCCGAAGTTTCTATTTTTAGTATCCAAGGCAACATCGCTCATAAATCAAAAAACGGATAAACAGAATTATGTATTTTAGTGTACTTTATTTAGGTGCCAAAAGTAATATTGAAATCAGACCAAATTGTAGGAGTTGCGTTTTGAAAGTATTTCACAGAAACTTCTCTTTTGACGTAACCAAGCCAACAGCTTTCATCGAAATCAAAACCGATATACAGATTTATGTATCTCGGTGTAGTCTACCTGTGTGCCAAGATATACTGAAATCAGGAAACTATGAGAGGAGTAGCATTTTGAAAATATTTCACAGAAATTTCTAGTTTTAGTAACCAAAACATCGACATTAAAACATATACAGTCTCGTTTAAAGTCATCATTTCGCAAATTTTATTGTCGATACAATGACCTTGTCAGCACATACAACCTATCATGAAGTCAAATGCCGACAGACGTTTTTCAAACTAATTGTTAGGCCATTATGTCTACGGATTTTTCCGGTTTTTCCCCGATCATGAACAAGGAGCACACGGTGGTTGTGACCAGGGGATGCTCACTCCTCCATGGCACCCGATACCACCTCTAAATGTCTGCTCTGCTCCAAATTTGTATCGTTTCATTGGACTTTCGAGATTGAATATTGTTCGTTATCTGCATATTTTATACAGAGAATTATGTTTCTTATACTTACTGTAGTCTACTTGTGTGTCAATTTATATTGAAATCAGAACTATAGTTGGAATAGCGTTTTAAAAGTATTTCACAAAAATTTCTATTTTTAGAAACCAAGGCAACATCGTTTATCGAAATCCAAACTATGTGTCCTAGTGAAGTCTACTCGTGTGCTAGTCGCCCGCGTGGCGCAATGGTTAGAGCGTCTGCTGTAGAGTCGCGGAGTAAGGAGTTGATCCTTACGTCGCGGGTTCGAATCCCACTGTGGGACGTGGAGACCGGTCCTTCGGATGAGACCGTATAAACCGAGGTCCCGTGTCGCAGTAGGTGCTGGTACGAAAAAGATTCCTCACTGCTCAATGGCCGTAAGTGCCGAGTATGGGACAAAATTTGCAGCTCTCCACCGGCAAGTGGTGGCGTCTCCATATGAGTGAAAAATTCTCGAGAGGGACGTTAAACAACATACAAACAAATAAAAAACTTGTGTGCTAAGTTACATTGAAATAAGACAAAAACTGTAGAAGTATTACACAGAAATTTCTATTTTTAGTAGCCATGGAAACATCGTTGATTGAAATCAAGAACCATATAACTTGGGGGCAAGTTATATTCAAATCAGACCAAAAATGTAGGAGGAGTAGCATTTTGAAGTATTTCACAAACGTTTCTATCTTTAGTAACCATGGCAAAACCGTTCATCGAATTAAAAAAACCGAAAAAAAGAACTGTGTATAATATCTTTGTATAGTCTACTTGTGTACCAATTTATATTAAGATCTTGCCCAAAACTTTAGGAGGAGTAGCATTTGAATCATTTCACTAAATTTTCTACTTTTAGTAACCATGGCAACACCGTTCATCGAAATCTAAAACTATTATTCGAATTAATGTATCTTAGTGTAGTATACTTCTGTGTTAAGTAATTTTGAAATCAGACCAAAACTGTGGCAGGAGTAGCGTTTTGAAAAATTGTTTACAGACCGAGAGACACCTTACTATCGCAAAAGCTCTTCTGGTCTTCGACCAGAAGAGCTAAGAATTACACGCTAAATGTATGACCATATTTAAAAACGTTGCTGTCGTGGGGGACAATAAACTTGCTATTGTCCATTAGTCAGTAAGTAGATGTATATGTTTTATTATACCGAATCAGACTTTACTTGTGTCACTTTCTGGTTAAAACAAGATGAGTTCCGAGATGAAACGCGAAGGGAATTAATTGCTGCCGGTGAAATGTTCGATGACTATTTCAGCATTAGCTTTTAGCACAAAAAGCCCGTGGGCCACAACGCTCACCCGAGTCACTGTTGGCTTGTTGTTCATCATCAGATTTTTCCCTTATATACGAGTATATTCCTATGTAAAATTTTGATAACCTTTAGTGACCACATCCTATATACAAGGACCAATATATATATGAATAAAATTTAATCTACACTATCAGAGAATGCTTCATTATAAATAAGACTATAATCATGGCTTTGCTGTTCTTCAGAGAAGGTTTTTAAAATCTTTTCCCTTAATTTCCTAATATATATAACTGTGATCTTCTATTGTGATCCCATCCTATTCCTGGGGGTTCAAGATTTCAACAAACTTGATTCTACACTGCCTAAAAATGCTTCCACATTTAAAATATGATTCATCATTGCTTCACTTTTCTTGAGAAGAGAAGTTTCAAATCCCTTTTCTTTTAAAATTCTATTTTAACTGATTAGCTATTGTTGCCCCACTTTATTCCGGGGTGGGGGGGGGGGGGTCATAATTTGAACAAACTTGAATCTACATTACTTTACTGTGCTTAAGATAGTTTAATAATTTTTTTTTTCATATTCAATCTATATCGAACTTTGATTTGAACTCCCCACCCCCGGGGACCAAAGTATAAATAAATTTACAATTTACATTATCTCAGGAAACTTTCACCTATGTTTCATCTTTTTTTGAGTCAGTGGCTCTTGAGAAAAAGATATTTCAATGTATAAATTTGAATACTTACTGTGGCCCCATCCTAACCCCGGGGACCATGATTTGAACAATTTAGCATCTACACTACCTCAGAAAGATTCCACGTGAATTTCAGCTTTTCTCGTCAAGTGGTCGTTGAAAAGAATATTTTCAAAGATTTTTCCTATATATTTCAATGTAAAACTATGATCCCCCACTATGGCCCCACCCTACCCCCG